ACCGACCTACCGACCTACCGACCTACCGACCTACCGACCTACCGACCTACCGACCGACCGACCGACCGACCGACCGACCTACCTACCTACCTACCTACCTACCTACCTACCTACCTACATTATAATTATAATTGCATACATACATTACATACATACATACATACATACATACATACATACATGCATACATACATACATACATACATACATACATACATACATACATACGACATACATACACATACATACCATATATACATATATATATATATATATACATACGTAACATCCCGCCGACTCCAGTTATCCAAGTGCAGCAGTAGGCTGCACATCGTTAAGTCGCATATCATATACGGGCTTCAACATTAACTGGAGACCGAGAGCCTGCAACCCAGCATCCTATGAGTCAGGCACCTGGAGGTGCGCGGCACGGTTTAGGGTTTAGGGTTTAGGGTTTAGGACCTTTGAATCGCAACATGTCTTGAAATCTCAAAAATCAAAAGTGAAGATTGCTTTCAAGATGGCCCCCAAAGGGCGAAACAGAAATGCCTGGGATCATGTGGAAGCTCTTTGCAACAGACCTTATGAACTCAAACACCCTAAATCCGAAACCACGAAATTCAACGCCAACAAACCCTAAACCCGAAAGCTCCAAGCCATACCCATAGGCCCTACAGTAGTTCCTTTTTGGGGTTCAGATATAGACTCCCATAAGGTAACCCCCCAAAAGGAACTACTATGGGGCCTATGGGTATGGACCTTCCAGCGTAAAGCCGTGAGACCCTAAGACCCTAAAGCCAAAACAACACACGCCAAACTCCTAAACCGCGAAACCCCCAAGACCCCAATATAGGGGTCTTAATAATGAGAATAGGGTTTCGGGCTCCTTTCATAGTATATTTATAATAAGGAATCCCAACAGTAGTATTGGTAATAATTTAGGCTTCTATATGAAAGCCAGGCCCTAACTGTCGATCCTGAGACCCGAAACCGTCAGCCAAGCTGCACAGAATCGGCCACACAGCGCGCAGAAGCGGAGCCTGGTCGGCTTTACTTTAGGGTTTAGGGTTTAGGGTTTAGGGTTTAGAACCCTAAACCCTAAACCCTAAAATTTAGCTAGGACTAGAACCGGGTTCCTTTACGGGTTTAGGGTTTCGGAGGGGCCTTAATAGTTCGAAAACGGCTCCTTGCAGGATTACCGTAAAAGTTGCCGTCGGGCTCTGCTATACAGGGGCCTTATAATGATTCGCAGGCTTTGGATTGTGCTTTGTTGTAGTCATAATAAGGAACCCTGTGTGAGAAAAGACTTGCAGCCTGCTGATGGACGCCAGTATGTGAGACTAAGAGGTAGTAGCATAGTAGTAGCACTTGTACTGGCGGCATTATGCCAAAAGAAGCCTGGGCCCCAACACGGTGACTATCTCCCTAATTCAACCCTATCCCTTAGGCTCCATGTAGCTTTATAGTAGGTACTTAGGCCTTAAAGTGCCTATATAGGGACCCCTTTAAGGCCTAAGTATCTACTATAAAGGTACATGGAGCCTTTGGGTATAAACCCTAAACACAAGATGTGCAGCGTTGAAGTCCCAGGGGCAGTATCAGCGCATCCATGCCCGCAGACTCGAGAATGTGCATGTCATCCAGCGTGAGGACACGTCGGAGTAGTTGATGACACCTGGCCATGCTCCAAACTGCCACAGAGTGGTAGGAAGTCGCAGGGGAGCCAAGACACCGGAATGCACCTGGAACATCCAGGCATCACCCAGAGTCGGGCCCTTTAGTTTAGCTCAGAGCCGACATGATCGTTGCAAGTTGCGCTCGTGGACATGATTTTATTATGACGATGCTCATATGGATAGTGATGGTGATGATGATGATGATGACGATGACGGCGGTCATGATGCTGCTGCTGATACAGAAGAGGATTATGATGCAAGAAGGGTTGAGGCTATTGTGCAGACGATCACCATGCCATCACAGTCCACATCCTGATCACCATGACCACGATAATCTTCAGCAAGACCAAGCTCATCGCCATGATACAATGTTACGGCTAGACCATCGCTCTCCTGAGTATTTCACGGTGCGCGCCTGCAGCTCACTTGACCTGTGACCAGACGCCGTAGCGTCTCACGCTTGGATCCACCTCGCAGGCGGCATTCTTGAGAACGAGAACAGTTGAGAACGTGGCAAGACCACGAGGCAATCTTGTGTCTAAACTTAAACTGTAAGACATCTTACCACTCACCCTCTTTACTCTAAAACGGAAGACGCAACAAATTCTCAGTGCGCAACTTCAAGCTTAAAGTTGGTTGCTGCGCTGTCGAAACCCAAGACGCTCTCAGGGACTTCGCTTCTTTTGATCAAGGGTTTAGGGGTTTAGGGGTTTAGGGTTTAGGGTTTAGGGGGTCACAGCGCTGCGAAACTTCGAGAAGTTTCAGTTGGGCCAAGGCACGCTGTGGGTGCACACTTGTGGGCGTAGTTCCAGAGGTCGCGAAGCCCTGGCAAGAGCAACGCCAAAACAGCAACTTCGCCGCGGCAACCAGCACCATAGCGGCAACCGCACCAACAACGATCCTGTGAACATCAACAGGCACAGAAAAAAGTTTTGGGGATACCACTTACCAGTGTTTGTTATAATTTTGGCTCGTGCTTCTTTCTGTTTGATGCAGGCTGAATGGGCGGTTCGTTGATCTAGGGCAAAACAGTCACGATGCCTGCTACATCCACAAACCCTTCTTCACCAGCATCTTCACCAGCGAGCTTGCAAAGATCATCCCGAAAAATATCAGCAACACAACCATCCTCGCAGTATTGTCTCAAGTTTCGTATGCCAGTTTAGCCATTGCCCTATCTACTCGTGCTCTGTATAGTCAACTCACGAAACTGGGGCAACACCAGAAAACTTGAAACTCGAAATGCGATTACATAATTCTGTAGCCCGCAACACACCTTGACCCGATGCGGGAAAACATGAAGAAGCAAGCCAAAAGTCACACTAGATCTCGAAATACTGCATCTGAGGCCCACCCAGTGAATCTGATGATCACCACTAATGTAGGGGCCTTAATAATTAGATAGGGTTTTTGGGGCCCATTATACTATAATGATGATAAGGAACCCCCCACAATAGTACAGATAATTATTTAGGCCCCTATATTATATCATGCAACCTGAGATCCCATGAGCCCCGAACCCTTAGCCATCAGGCCATAAGCCCGAAAGCCCTCGAGCAACCAAAACCTGAACCCAATGTCTTTAGGGTTTAGGGTTTAGGGTTTTAGGGTTTAGGGTTTAGGGTTTAGGGTTTAGGGCCCCTCATCCCCCCAAAGGCCTAAGCCCTAGACCCTAAAACCCACCCTCAAACTGCCCTAAACCCCAAACCCAACCTACAGTAACCCCTTTAGCGAAGCTTAAACCACCCCTGAGCAACCTCTATAATACATGGGCGTTGATAATTAGAATAGGGTTTTGGGGCCCGTTTACTATAATTATAATAAGAACCCCCGCCCTCACAAAAATAGTATAGGTAATTATCTAGGCCCCTATATTACAACCCCCACCGGGCACCTGGAAGCTCAGCTCTGCCGCCTTCGCAGGCGAGAAGAAGAGCCGTGGGACGGCCAAGGCCTGCGGAGGGATGTCTTTCGGTTCAGGGTTTAGGGTTTAGGGGTGTAGGGTTTAGGGGTTTAGGCTAAGGTTTAGGGCATAATTAGTGTCGATGGCTTTTTTGCCTAACTGACCTAATTATTTATACCACACTTTGTCTATGTCTGATGTGTAGTACCTTGTACGAGTACAACGAAGTTCAACAGGCATACATATGTAAATACGCAGATAGGTAGATAGATAAATAGACAGATACAGATAGATCGGCAGATTAGATTAGATTAGATTAGATTAGATTAGATTAGATTAGATTAGATTAGATTAGATTAGACTAGACTAGATTAGATTAGATTAGATTAGATTAGATTAGATTAGATTAGATTAGATTAGATTAGAT